CGCCAAAATCTTTAAGTCCGTATTTAACATCGTTAAAGGGCGAAAGTTCCCTAACCCATCCCCACCGTTCTTGTCCTTACGCAGCAACAGTGATCACACCCCTGGTGAAGCGTTGAGGTAAAGACCCCTGCTTCATCCAGTGGTTGAAAATCAAGTTCCAGCAAAGGAACAAAAACGGGCGACAGCCTCAAGTACACTTCGTAGGGAAGACCATCTAGTCCCGGAGACTTATCCAGGCCAACCTGCTTCAGCGCTTCCCAGATTTCCGACTGTTATGGGACCCTCGCACCTAGCCGCTTCAGCTGCCTCAAGGCAAGGAAAGTCAGCTAAATAGGCGTCGAACTGAGCAGAGCTCAGACCGGGCTCCCTGGTGAAAAGATCCTGAAAGTAATCCCGAAAGGCTTCGCATATGCCCGCGTTTGTAGTCACGGTCCGCTTATCCGGCAATGTGACGCCCGCTATATGTCACCTAGACGCGTTCCTATTCTCCTTTGCACGCAGTTCAGCGGCCATGTTCGTCGCCTCAGAAGACATTCGTTTTAGCCTAGCCCTAACTACCAGAGCTTGATCCTTCTTGATAAGCAAGGAGGACAACTCTGCCATAGCTAAGACTATGTCCCCACTAACACGGGATTTCACGGCCCGATCAATTTTTTCTTCTAAAGCCGTTTGCGCCGCTAATCTATCTAGATTGAGTCGACGACTAAAATCGGCAGCAAACGTTCTAATTTTGGATTTTAATTTGCCCCACCAGGCGTTTCCCACAACCGCCCCCGTCAATTCCCTCTGAATGATTAGTAGCAGCTGGTCCCGGAAACCCTGCTCACCAAATAATGAACAGTTAAATTTCCAGTAACCAGCTATTCTAGCCCTAGGCTTATCTAAGTTTACACGGACCCGGACAAGCCTATGATCCGTATAAACTATATAGTGGAAGCTTGGACACCCTAGGATCCCTACATCGACTCTCTTAACTAGGACTCGGTCCAGGTAGCTCGCAAGCGTCCCAGGAGCCGAGTTGCCACTATTAGTCCAAGTCTATGCTACCTCCCGAGGGTGTTCATTTCGGTACTTATCGACGAGACCAAACTCATCGATAAAGCCCCGAAATGGTTTCACGTCCGGTTTGTTAGTACCTTGTCTTTGCCCTATACGATCTATATCGGGGTCAAGGACGGCATTCCAATCCCCCGCTAAAACTACCCGAAACAAAGCAGGCCGCTCGGCATGGTTATTGGGCGCATAAACCCTAATGAGACGTAGAGCCTTATCCTTTATGGTAACATCCAGCACGCAAAGCCTGCCCGCCAGATCCGCGAAGACAAGGGTACATGCAGCCTTCAAAGACCTGCTCACTAGCCAAGAGACACCCCTCGAACGACCATCAAAACATGCTGAATAAAGGGCGAACCCCTAGACAGAATGTTCTCACGGTCATGAGAAGAAAACCAGGTCTCTTGCACACAACACACATCCACCCCGAGGCGCTGAAGGTCACGAGAGAGCCTCGCTCTGCGAGACTCGGACCTCAGGCCCCGGACATTTACACTACCTAACCAGAGAGCCATAGTGAAGACCGATTAGGGTTGAACTACTGGTTTGAACATGGACTGGGGTAAGGATACAGACCGCCTCTCCCATAGACCCATGGCCATCTCAGTCTTGATGGTGCCGTCTTGGGAGATACCGCCGATATCCCAGGGAAGGTCAATTTAAGTGCTCTATATAGGGAGGGGTGAACTAAAACGGGGACCCTCCCTGCACAGAACTGTTTTAAATTTTTAAATGGTCATTTTCGATGATAGCGATGGGTAAAGCCATCTTATATGCATTGATGGCCTCGTCCACCATGGCCCAAATCTGTTTTACAGCAGATCCTGATTTTATTACAGTCAAGACTCTCTGCGCATTTGGGGAAGTTTTGTGGAACCTCTATATCCAGGTCCGCAAACTGCTTGATGGAGAACAAGTATTTCAGGTCCTTTAACCTGTTCCCATAATCCCGGGCTCTCTCGGCCTGGGCTGGGGAAATATGGCACCTCCTCTCCAGTGTTAAAAATCAGTCTTTTTTTTCTTTGCTCTTTTTGCTCTTGCGTGGGGCTTTTTAGACGCTTGGAAGCGGGAGGTGGCATATCGGATTGATTGAGATTGACTGGGGGTACGGAGGGGTGGATTTTTGTTTAACGGGGGGGAGGGGTGTATGGAGGGGTATAGAAAGACCTATGTCTATAGGGGCTGGGATCTCTACTGAGGGGGGAGGATTTGGATGGCGATATCAAAGGGAAGGTTGTTTCTTCGGGAACTGGGGAGCAGAGGACGTTGAAGGGATAGGGTCTTTTTTTTTTGCATCTAATTGTTTCTTCAGCTCTTTAATTTTTTCAGTCTTTTCGAATCCCGGATCAAATTTCTTTTTGTTTTTCTTGGAGTGTCAGTTGAGAGGCGGGGCATCGCCCTTAACGTTGCTAGAGGGAGTGGGGCTGTAAGTGCCTTTCTTCCTTGGGGCTTCAGGAGACTGAGGACCCGCTGTCCGGCGCTTCCCTCTGGCCTTACCATCAACCAGCCATTCCCCCTCCCCACAACTGCACTAGCAGCGGGCGAAGGCTCTTTGGGGAATGTGGATTTCGATGACACGCCAACCGGAGGATTAACCGACCCGGTCCCGGAAGCTGGTACGCCCATTACAGGCGAGGCGGAATGTACAGACGCGGTCAGAGGGGGATCTTGATCAACTGGAGCTTGACTTCCAGAGGCCTTCTTCTCTGGGCAGGAGGAGGAGAGATGACCAGTCACTCCACACCTCCAGCATACCGGTCTTCGACCCGTCACAATGACCGGTAACTTCAAGCTACCAACATCCAGACAGTTGGGGATGGAGCGGAAGGCTTTCTCGTCCAGCATGATATCAAAGCTCCACCCCCCGCTCAAGCTATCACAGGAAGCTCCCAGAATTTCGCCATACTGGGAGAAAAACGCGGCGAGATGTTCCCCGATAACTGAGGAGGGACCTCGTATACCCTGGTCCTTCTTTGGCCTTCGTACTCCGTCCGCAGTATCAATTCTTTATTTATTAGCTCGCGGCTAGCCGCGGCGACAGTCTTCCGATGTGGGTCCGTCCCCATGAAAAATTTAGCTCCTTAACTATTCTGAGGGGCTTAAACCCGAAGGACTCTAGTGCTTTCAACACTGTGTTTTTCGTCGAGCGACAAATTTTGCGCGTACGCTTGTCCACGACGAAAACTGACACTATTCTTTTCTCAATTTTCTTCAATTCTTGGGGGTCTTCTAAGAGTCCACCTTCTACAACAAGGTGAGCGTAACTCTTAGCACGCTCCAAGAACTCCGCTAAATTGATTATGCACTTTGGTGGGGACGACCAACAAGAGGGCGATTCCCCGGCCTCAGGCTTATCTTGAGTGTCATTTCTGGTTTCTTTGTTTTTTGAGAATTTTGGCCATTATTGGCCTCCGTAGGTTTTTTTTTTTCCTTGTTATTGCCATTATTGGCTTCCATATTTTTTTTTTTTTTTTTTTTCCCAGCGGTTTCAACGTCGCTAGGGGAAGTGGTCTCAAGAACTGGATATTCATTTAGATTGTCTTTATCCGGGGGTCTTTTTTGGTGGGGTTGAAAAAATGCTTTCGTATCGCCTTTCTATAATCAGACAAATTTGGCTTTTTTTAATTAAAAAAAAGGTGTTTTTTTTTTTTTTTTTCATTTTTAAGAAGGAAGGGAGGGTAAATACGGGTGGAGAACCGCCTTATAACGGAAAAAAAAAAATAAAAGTAAAAAAGGGGAGAGTAAAAATAAAGTTTTGCTTATCAGCAAGACAACAATTTAACTTATGGACAAAAACAGACGAAAGTAAAACAGAAGGATGTGAAAAAAAAAAAAACTAAAATACACAAATGTAAACAGGTAAAACTAAAACGAAAAAAAAACAAATGGACAGACGAGAAAATGTGAACAAGGTTCACAAAAACGAAGAAAGAATAAAAAAATTAAAAGGACAATTAAAAGGACAACAACAAAAAAGCAACAAAAAAAAAAAAACTAAAAGTTATAAACGGAAAAATACGAGTAAACGCTATACAAAATAAAATACGAAACTAAAAATGTAACAATTTACAATATGGCTGCCGATAAAAACGGTCAACCCAACAACAAAAACGTTAAATAAAGAAAAAAAAAAAAAGGAGGGACAGAAATTACAAATTAAACACGAAAAAATAAAAAACAAATATTATATACACGTAATTAACAGATAAAACGTAGATTTTTAACGGGTATTTAAATAAAAAAAGAAATAGAAATAATTAACAAATAAATAAATAAATAAATAAAAAAAAAAAAAAGGTCGGACGAGAAACGTAAAGAAAAATAAACAGATAAACTCCGGGGTGTGGGCACGGGAAGAAAATAGATTTAACAAGGAGAAAAGTAAAACGTAAAATTAAAAAAAAAAATAAAAAAAATAACTAATAACAAAAAAAATGAAGTAACGGTAAAAAAGAGGGAAAGGAAATGAAAAGGAAAAATCAAATGGTCAAAAATAAGAACGTTAGAAAAATGGCAAATTGAACAAAAAGTCAAAAAGTAACGTTAGAAAAATGTTAAAATAAATCAAAACTTAGCTAAATTAGGGCAGTCAAAAGTTCAAATGTAATCCTCCTAAAGACAGAATAAACGGTCAGACAAGAAAGTCGTGAATTCAAAAAAAAAGACCTTCTTTTTGTTGCTCTCTACTGTTTACTGTGGTCGTACTTTATCGGCCACCAGAACGTCCATTATCGTGAATGGGGAAGTTGGGTTATCTCATCACAACACACACACTTTCTTTTGTAGATCATAAATTAAAAACAAACGTTGTATATTCAATTAAATATTTGGTATTTGTATATTATTTATTTAAGTTGTTTTGTCCAGTAAAATTTCTATGAAACCTCAATGGTATATGAGAAATCCTGATATGTAAATGTGTGAATTTTGTTTTCTTGTGCTTTTAGGGGTTTGGCCCAGTTGTTATTAGAAAGGGAGAAGTTGGGGCTCCTGGACCTCATGGTAGACATGGTACAAGCGGTCCAAAAGGTAATTGTTTTCAGATTCTTTTCTTGATATCTCCATTATTTTATTTATATCAGGGTTACACTCTCAATCCTATATTTAGAAAATGACCTTTAAATGCACATTTAGCTTAGCAAAAGGTCACTAAAATCTCTGTTATGAAAAGTTAAGTAAATTTATTTAAAAGATTAAAATTGAATTTTGAAACATTTTCTCATGAAAAACGATCAAATTTGATCAAAGCAAAAGGCATTCTACAAATTATTAAGTAATGTCCAGTAATATATTCCTTATCACAAAATGAACAGTCACTTGCAACTATTTAGTTTGAATACAGTCTTCATTCTAACATGCATTTTTCCTTTAAAATGTTCTTTTATTTTCTAATTTAATATTTATTTTTCAGGTCCACCTGGTGATATTGGTTTGCCTGGTTTTCCTGGTGAGCCTGGTGACCCTGGTCTCCCTGGATTAATTGGACCACCTGGTTTAGATGGTTTTTCATTCAAAGGAGAACGTGGGCCTCCAGGTAGAACAAATTATGGTTATCCTTTCAAAAGTTGTCAAAATTCTGTTGTTGAAATAAAAATATACCACATTCTTCTTTTCAAAATAATCCCTGCACTTGTAGTCAATGCACTTCTAAATTCTTTTCCATGCCTCAAAGCACTCTTCAGAATTGTTCTTTTGATGGCTTCAGTAAGTCAGTCACACATTTTAGTGTCCTCCACACACACTCAAAATGTGTACCTTTTCAATTTGTGAAGATTTAGAAGTTCTAGATTTGGTGATTATAGAGAATCTTCTAGAATGTCTGTCAACAATGAATAGATAGATGCTAAGGGCCATGTGTGCAAGGGCATTGTCATGATCCTGCAGGATTCACTTCTTTTTCAGCCATTAGTCTCATCTTGTATATTGGATATGTGCAGTTAAATGGGTTAATAATTCTTTACAATAATGCTGGTTCAGTTTTCCTTTCTGGTATGAATTGATGATGCATCAGTCGTTCATGGTTGAAGAAGGCAATAAGCTTGACTTTGGACTTGAACACGCTGGTTGACTTTGGTTTGGCTGATACTGGTATCTTCTATTGGAAGACCTAGATTTTTCACTATAATTATATTATTGTAGTGGAAAACCTATGTCTTATTTTCAATGATGTCATTACTGTGAAACACAGCACACATATACACAGTTGGTCTCTTTATCCTCAGTGAGCAGCAATTGGGCAACATCTTCATGCACATCTTTCACATATCTAATATGGTCCTTAAAAACTCTTTATTCAATCCAAGTTCTTCAGTAATTATTCTAATTGTCAATCTGCAATTTGTGTTGGATTTTTTCCCAAAGTAGCCAAGAACTTTATATTGGCCCTTAGCTATAGACACTTCACATTATAGATTGCATGTCACAAATCAGAAATCCACAAAAATAATAATAATTGGTTAATAGAACTAAGACAAGACCTAATGTTCAGATATTGTGTGAGGTTGCTGTGTTATATAATCAGAAGCCTTCATCTAGTTTCTTTTTTTACCACAGTTCATATAAGTAAATTGTATCTGTTAAGATGTTGAGTGATTACTGTATTTTTACTCTTTTCACTAAAATACAAGGGGTTGCTGAAATGTTCTTGGCTCAAACAAGAAAAGAATAAAAAAGATATTTAATGTTTTGTCAGATTTTAGAAAATGTGGCAGACTGAAAACTTTCTATCCCCCTCTTGGCAGATCCTTAATATTTTAGGGTAATTTCTTTTTGTAAATGTTTTCATAGAAATTATAGAAATAAAGCAAATGGTTAAAATACAAAGGGTCTGCTTTTATGAATCAGTGAAACACCTTGATCTACTTCCATGGATTTTTTTTTTGCTTTATTTACTAGGTCTTCTCGGTCTTGATGGTAAACCTGGTTATGTAGGACAACGAGGATTACCAGGAGAAGTTGGAGAACAAGGACCACGTGGTTCAAATTATGAAGGACAACCTGGCCTTGATGGTTTACCTGGGATTGATGGTTTAGATGGTGTGAAGGGTCCTCCTGGAAACCGTGGTGAAATTGGTAATAGAGGACCAGCTGGGCGTGGACAAGGTCCTAAAATTGGAATTCCAGGACAGAAAGGTACACGTGGAGATTATGGAGAACGAGGTCTTCCAGGTCTTCCAGGAAAACCTGGTCTTCCTGGTTTCAAAGGTACTTTGCATTTGATGTATTTCAGTTTTACTAGATACAAATTCTGTCAGTTTTTTATTTTTAAAACATGCTCAATGTTAGAATTGACAAACATTGTGTGAACATGAAACTGGGACTTACAAAGTGAATTATATGTGGAATGGTATGTTGGTTTGGCAGTAGAAAATTGCCAAATTATAAGTGATTTAACTAGAAGTAAAAATTATAAGATTGTAAAAAGGATAATTTTACTAGAAATTTTACTTTTTTAATAAATATTTTGTGTATCAATTTTTGCCTGAGAATCTTTTAAAATGAAACTTTTGCAGGTCACAAAGGTGATAATTGTGGCTATTGCAGTGATGGTACTCCAGGAGAGAAAGGTGAAAGAGGTCCACCTGGAAGATTTGGTAAGTACTAATGCTATTAACATGACTTAAAGATAAATAATCTGCTTTTGAAATTGTCATGAATTTAGTAATTATAGTTAGCTTTAATTTGTTAAAACCAAATGCTTTATTAATGATCATGCTTGTTTTAAAACAATTATCTCAAGGTTCACTTTTGTTTCTCTTAGGCCTTCCTGGTTTTGATGGCCCTGATGGTTCTCCAGGGGAAAGGGGTGATCTTGGTTACCCTGGTTTGCCTGGCTTAAAAGGAAGAAGAGGAGACAAAGTAAGTTGAATCAAGCACTTTCACTTTCTTTTCAAATATGTAAAAACAAATTGAAAGTAAATGGCAAACGGAAAGTTTTAAAATGTTTGTGAATTCTAGAAACATGTTTTTTGTTTTATATTTTTTGAAAGACCAATTTGCTTATGAAAATTTTTTTAAGAAAAAAAAAACTTTTTCTACCTAAGTGAGAGGAATTTAATATTAAAGAATTGTGAACTCATGAGCAAAAATGAAAAAGAAAAAAAAGTATTTGTTGTCATTCTTACTAAACATTGTATTGATTTTATCATTAGGGAAATGCAGGTTTTCGAGGTCTTGATGGTTTTGTTGGTGCCAAAGGTGAACCAGGAGAATATATCATTAGTGAAGTTTTCAAAGGTGATAGAGGAGATCCTGGTTTTGAAGGGATTCCAGGAAGAGATGGACAACCAGGTGATGTTGGTCCAAGAGGCCCCCCAGGATTGCCAGGTTTCCCTGGTTTAAAGGTGAATCATAATTTCTCTTTTTTTTATTCTTTTCTTTCTTTTTTATTCTTTTCTTTCTTTTTTATAAGTGAATAAAAATGCTATTAAAAAAGCATTTTGTGTCATTCTAACAGCATTTCATAATTTAAATTCACCCTTTAACTGTGGATGATTCAAATTTCCAAAATTACAGTTCTATGGCTCAACTGTGAATGGTAGAAATTTCTACCAGAGTTAATGATTTTGTGAAATTTTTTTTTTTATTGAATTTCCATAGGAAAGTGAGTAGTTTCAAAAAAGATAAAGCAAAAAAGATACTTGAAAAAATTATTAGCTGAAATAATTAATGTTCTTCTATAAAGTGATTTTACATTTATTATCAGAAAATGGTTTCTTTATTGTAAGTTGTTTGTAAAAGTTCCTTTACTTTTTTCAAGAGAAAAAATCCTGTTGAAATAAACAATGAATTCAGTGATTGTATCTACTTAAAATAAACTTTTACAAGTTAACTTTTTCCTCTTACTAAATTGAAATCTTATGAATGTAAGGGTAAAACAGTAAACATATTTTGCCTAAATTTGTAGGGAGATGATGGACCCCCTGGTCTTCCAGGTTTGGATGGGTTAACAGGAGAACATGGTAATTATGGTTTGGATGGTTTGCCTGGTGATTCTATTCCTGGTTTAGCTGGACAGAAAGGAGAACCAGGATTACGTGGTTTTGATTCTATTGGCAATAAAGGAGTTAAAGGTTTGTGCACTTTTAATAATTTGATTCTAGAGTTATATTCTTACATATGTTTTCTAATTAGGTAGCCAAATTTTTAATGGCAGGGGTTGTAGAAAAAATTTTGTTTCACCTTACTTCCAAAATCTGTTTAAATTACCAACCATCAGAATAGTGTGATTGCTACCCAATCAAATGTTACAATTACTTTCCAAAAATAATTTTGCTATGTCTTATCAATTTTTTAATGTTTATAACAGATCAGATTGGTAGCAGAGGTAAAAAGATTTTCATGGTCATTTCATTGTTTTATATTTCTTCTGCTACTTCTATTAGCTTGAGAGGGCTGAACTTCTTCAGTACGTGGGTGATCATGACTCTCTACAAATTCCTATCCTTTGTAGCTCTAAGCACTTTCTCTCCTTATTATCCCTTCCCAAGTCTGTTTATGAAAGCAGGAAAATAAAAACTTTTTCAGATGAATTTCAGGAAGTAGTAATTTAGATTATTAGAAATTCCCAATAAAATAATGAAATTGAATGGCTATTTGTCTAATCTTGAAATAAATTTTCTTTATAACAGGTGAAAGTGGAGATGCAAGAGGCTTTGTGTTTATAATCAAAGGTGATCAAGGACCAATTGGTTTTGAGGGAATGTCAGGAGAACCAGGTACAAACATTTTGTTCAAACTATTCCTCCTCCTTTTAATTGTTTTTATTGCAATGTAATGTAATTTTGTGTATAAATCAAAGGAAGATGCAAATGATACTAACCATTCATTTCTGAAGAAAACAGAAAGAACTTAAGCATTGCATTTGTAACTTAAGAGCTCTATTTCTCTAGACCTCCCCATTCCATCAACAAAGTATCTTTGGTATTGTTTTAATCAAGGTTGATTCCTATATTAATACTGTGTGGTCAGTATGCTAATGCTATGAGAAAAATGTAGCTTCTTTAGTTCAGACTAATTTTCTCATCATTTTTTTATCTTATTTTTAATCACTGATTGAGCTGTTGTACCCCTCAGTTTTTCATGTAAGAATTAATTAGAATTTGAGGTAGGGTCAGTTAGTTTGATTTGAGGTGGCTGAGAGTTGGTTCATTTTGCTTGCTTTTTCTATATTTCAGAACCAAATTAATTTTCATATTTTTTTTTTTTTGTAATATATACGACTTGGCTTGAGACTACTTCAAGAGAGAGCTGATTTTGTTCAAGAGTTCATACGAGATAGCTCATTTCATCCAGGGCAACTACACTGATTTTGTTTAACATGATTTGAAAATCACATGCTGGAGAATTTATTAGAAAATTTACTTTGTCCAAGACATTTGATGTGGCTGTAATTAAGCTGCCATTATTTATTTTATTTCTTTGCTTTGCTTTGCTTTTATTTTTCATTTGAACTGCCGTTGACTGGTAGATCTAACAGGTTACTCTGAGATCTTTTATAAGGATGGAATTTCAGGCTATTGATAAGTTGCAACTCCAATTTTAGAAATACTTTTGGGAAACTAAGATGGAAAGGTACGGTTACATTCCTGATTCAACATATTCTTTTATCTTGCCTCACTAATTTTATAATTTCTTTTCCTATTCCTATGTAGCAACAGCTCTTTTTTGCCACAATTTCTTTTTCTGTATGTTAGTGGACACAAGGAGTTAATAAATGTCACTATATCCACAAGTGTCTGTTGTATTTTGAAATACTTAATCTTGCCCTAAGGTGGGGAATGGCATGCGTTTCCTTGTATTTTTTTCAACTAGTGCTTGTGAGTTCTTGGTATGGTTTGCCTCTGATTGGGTGGGTACAGTGGGTGAACCTCACCAGTCTTTCCTTTTTTGGTATCATGTTTATTTCCTTCTAATTAATGGGCCCTTATATGTTATTAAGGTCTCATATATGGACGTTGATTACTAAGATTATCTATCATTTCATACCTATGCTCTTCTCTCACTTATTGTCTGCATTTTCTTATTCTTTCCTTTATCTCTTCCAATTTCCATTGTCTATGTATATTTTTTTTTAAAATAAATTGGACTATCTACAGAAAAGAATACAAAATTTACAACTCTACTGCATCCTCTTTTATCATTCTTTTGCTCTCTCATCATCAAAATTATCAATGTATCCTTCCTCTTCCTGATTTTTCCTTTCACCTGAATGTTTTTGCCTCCAACTTTCTTACTTCTACCTTTCCTCTTTCACACACTTTCTCCTTCACTACTTCTCTCTTGCTTTTCCTAAATTTTTTCCTTGTAAATATTTCTAAATTTCTCAGCAGAGAAAAACTAAGGATCAAACAGATACTATTCTATTGATCCTATATAGAAAAATGTCATACATCCAGGAAAACAGAATAATAGTGAAGATGTTGATGGAATTATTTCCCTACAGTATGTGTGCAGATTCCTTTAATGTTCTTATTTGCCAATACTGTTCACTGTCTACCATTTTAATTTTATTCCATAAAGGTTGAAAGGTTGATTTCTTGGTCATAGTTGTCTCAACTTTTTACTATCTACTTTCATTGTATGTTGTTCCTCTTTTGAATCTCTCTTACTAATTGTAAAGGTTTGTCTTCTATTTCATTACTTTCAGCTCTGTTTCTAACTTTTCTTTGTCCTTACTGTTATATTCAAAATAATGTTTCAATTTGACTAAAAGAGAAAAAAAAACATATAGACACAGTCATTTTTCACAACTATTATCAAAATATCATTTCTCCTTAATGCCCAATGTGATTAATTTATTACATGATCACTTATAGTTTGATGTTAAATGTGATGTTATGATAGTTGCTGTAGACAAAAGATAGATCTCAAAATTTTGTGTCTTTTCAGGTCTTGCAGGCCGTCCAGGTGATGATGGTCTTCCAGGTTTTCCTGGTCTTAAAGGTATGGCTGGTCAACCTGGGCTGGATGGACTTCCAGGTAGTAGAGGACTTTCTGGTAAACCAGGTTATCCTGGCATGCCAGGTGATAATGGACCTGCAGGATTACCTGGCATTGCTGGTCTTCCTGGTCAAAGAGGTGATCCAGGATTTGATGGTTTAAAGGTTAGTTTCAAAATCACTTTACTAACAATTTGTTTTGTTTGTAAAATGATCCTGAAGGTTTGACAAATGATTTTTGGGAAAATTAATCTAGTGTTTTTCCTCATGGACTGGAACTTGAACAGGACTAAAACACAACATTGATAATTGTTACAGAAAATAACTTTAATATGTATATTTCAGCCATTGAAAATATATTTATAAATTTAACATTTTTGTGAAGAATTGGCTGTTAAAATGTTTTATCAAGTTAAATAGAAGTTATTCTTGATTTTGTTGTCTTAACTATGGTTTAATAATAACCTGGCCCAGCAAATATTACAATAAATCTTTCCCCCTTCCAACTGATTAGCTAAGATTTCCCACAGTAAATTACTATAGTATTTCTAAGAAGAGCATTACTATGATTTGTGAAGTCTCATATTCTATACGATGGAAGAGGCTATAATAAAACGGTTTCCATATACCCTGGAATTTATCCTTCCATTTTAAATTTTCTTCACATACAACTAAGAATACAAAGTTAATTAAAGAGAATGATAGGAATTTGAGTGTCAAAAAGTATTTTTTTTATTTGTTTTTTTTTTTAATCAGTATCACCTTGTGCCAGGCAGTAAAACCACTAAGACACAAAGGGTTACAAGGTGTGGAAGGATTAGGAACAGAAACATTAATAATGAGTGAAAAGAGAAAAGAGTAACCAGGAGGACATTAGATAGCAATTGACATTGAATTTAAATTTTTTGCAAATTAAAGTTGGCTGGAAAGCATGGAGCCAGAAGGGAGTTCCATGTGTGAGAAAAGAAACTGTTAGCATAGAACTTAGGACTACATCTAGCCAGGTCAACTGTAAATATATGAGATCTTGACACCAGTCTAGTACTGCACTTAAATTCATGAAATCTAGGTACCATAGCAAAGAGCTCCTCTGAACAATTACCATAAAAGTATTTATAGAAAATGCACAGAATAAAATTAGTATTATATAATTATTGTTTCTTCATGGAGATATTGAAGTTGAGTTGTGATCACCATTGCTACAAATTCCAGGAATGTATAAAAAGGCTTGACACTGACATCATCATTTGGGTACATCATAATGTTCACATGTGTGAAAACTTATCATAGCAGTAGCATCAAATTTATCTCTTGATTCTTAGACATACAACTACCTTCCATAGCAGGAAAGTTTTTGTGTAGGAAGAGTGCTTGTGTATAATTCTCTGCTAAAATTTTGAAGTCATAAATAAAAAAGACTTACTTGTGTGACATAGAACAAAATAATGCCATTTCCATGACATATTTATTTATACCTGTAGTTGAATTGTATCATTATAACCAATTGCAGGAGCTTCAAGTCTTAGCAGAACAAGAGCACCATTGAAAAAAATCAGTGCACTCAGGATATTGACAGTAGCAGTTGTCATACAGTGTGAATTAAACTTAGTAACTTGTATTATGCAAAATCATGTCTCCAATGGAAACAATTTGGTGAAACATCTGTTCTGTTTCACCAAACTGTTTCCATTGGAGATGTACTATCTGGGCAATAAATATCTCTTGATATAAACAATAAAGACAACTAGCATGAAATGAGATATTTAAATAACAATGTTTTCTCATATTCATTTTAAAGATATTCAAATGATAGTCACCACAAAAGTTTATAATAATTGCATACTTGACATTTTCAGTTGTTTTACTACATTTATTATTTCCATATTAAATTTTCCACAAATGTTTTTGTAGAACTTTATAAGTCATTATTAGTCTTAGAACTTTTGGATTGCAGATTATAAACAACTTTAGAAAATCCAGCAGCTGTCTTTTTGAAAGTACCACAGACCCAACAATGTATTTTCATTTTTTTAAATTATTCTCATTGTCTAGATTTTCTCTGTCTACATGAATTCAAATCTAAAGTTAAATTCTGAGTCATCCACAATTAAGAAATTTTCATTCACCCTTGCCTCGTTCAATTTTATTTTCTAGGGTCAGAAAATTTAAGAATTTTCTATTTTTATTTCTTCACATTTATTGCAGTAACTAGAAACCAATTCTAATGAGGTTTTCTTTCCCTTGATCCATAGTAAAATTCTAAAAATTTTTTTTCTTTTTTTAGAGAGTCTCCATCATTAAAATGTATTTAAAACTCCATAAAAATTAAAGAATTGATTTATTTCTGTTCTTGGCTAATAATTTTATTTCTGTCATAGGGAGAGCCAGGAGAAGGTTTTCTTGGTACATTGATAAGAGGAATTCCTGGCCCACGTGGTGAAAATGGAATTCCAGGTCCAAGAGGACCTGATGGCATACCTGGCTTACCAGGCTTGCCTGGACCAAAAGGTATTAGGGCAGTATTAACCACAATTTCATTACTAATGTGACTATATTTTATTTTTTAAAGTCTGATTTGTATTTATAAATGTTTGTTCTTTTTCACCTGTATTTCAATATGGGATAAGTTCAACCATCTATTTCAGACACATACACACACACACACAAACCTTGTATTTAACTTTTATTTCCCTCTAATATAAATATGAATTTTACTACACACCATATATAAATCTGTTATGCAGATATATTGTGAGTTCATATACATTAGATAATGAACATTATATATGTAAACTCATGGTGAGTAATCCCATAAGTTTCATCTTCATAGGCTACCTTATTCTTGTCCCTGTGCCAGACTAGGTTTAGCAAATTTCTATGTACTGATACAGAATACCCCAATATTATTTATATACTTATGTCAGACCATTCTCATATGTAAATATATTTGATGATTATTGACAGAAATCTTATTTATATATACATAATTAGTGCATACACACATACGTGTCTGTGTATTTATCTGATATATGTGTTTATATATATTTACACATATACATTTACACATTTATATATATTTACACATATACATTTATCTATTTTCCTCATATAAATCACTATACACCACTGAGCAAATTCTTTGCCATTTGATGACTTTGATCATGAGCTGTGGTCAGTGATTCCTGTGGCTATCTCTGGTAACAATTGCACAATAATTTAAAGCTAGTGGGTTGCATTTTGACATGAAAAATCTGTCAAGTTACCATTGCTAGTAATCTTCATACAAAATTATGACAATATTCACTAGCAGCTCATCCTTATGGAGAAATCTCTGTCAAGCCTAATATAGATAGGAAGATAACCAAGAACTATGTTTATTCCATCCCTTGCAGTTTCTGCTGCTCATTATGCTCTTGGATAATGGACAGTTTTCTTTCTGCTTTGCCAAAAATCTTTGTCAGCTTATTGGGATCTAGGCAAACAAATATGCCAAGTAAAGACTATGAACAACTCAGAATTGTGTCCAAAATAATTTGTTTATAGTATTCTGCATTTTCCAATATAATTCTAGCACTCAGCTCACATAGTAGTCACTCTTCTGATTGCCATGATAACAGTTCTCTCTCTCAAGTCCTGTACCCCCCAACTGTGAATTATTGGGTCACAGCCTGAGTATGCCAGGAATTGCTGCTGAAGTTTCTATAGCAGTTAGGTTTTTTATGGGATGGATTTGCTAGCCCCATGCCCAAGCCAGTTTTGAATTCAGTTTTCTTTCTCCTAGACTGGGTGCAAACCATGTCTGAAGAGCCTAGTCTATCCTACTATTTAATCCATAGATGTTGAAGATATGGATTCATGCTTTGCCTAAAGGTATTTGCATGGAAGTGAATGTAACAAACTTGAATTCAAACTTGGCTTGTCGATATCTTGATCTGAGCTGCTAAGCATTACACCACCGACACACCCTATTTCTCTTTAAATAGCTACTTGGCTACAATAATTGTTGGACTGTTGAATCTTGGTTGATTTGCAAGTAATTATATGAAATATGACATCATTTTGCATAATGTCTACCAAGGCTAATACTGTAAACACATGACAATTGAAAGTTGTCAGAATAGCAAAAAATAAAATGTGAGACTATACATATATAGCTGTGAAAGAGAAACATTTGTAATATTTTATACTTACTATTTTTTTAATATACCTTCATAGATAATTTAGCATCAATGTTGGTGCCTATCAGTTTCATTAATGACAGATTTTAGTTTTTCTTGAGTATTGTAATAGTTTTTAAAATTAATTCAAAATAAGTTGTTCTTAATTAACTTCTGGCCTAATTTACAGATTAGTAATATACATAAACATTTACATTTAAATTATGGTACAGAAAACTTATTTTCCAAATTTAATTACCAGTGCATTTTAAAACCTATCTAGGATTGATTATAGAATTTATTTTAAATATTTATTCTGTCAAAGCAATAATTTATGATATAACTTGTTATAGAAAATGACTGGGTGAGAATCGGCAATAGTTTTGAAAGAAGTTTCTAGACTTTTTTACTACATGCATGTAACAAGAAATGTCATCTCTGTTAAGGCTTTGAATTACTCTATTAAGCAAAGGTTTTTTTCAATCTTTGCATTTTATATTTGCATATAATTTCTAAACACATTTATTATTAACCATGGTAATTATTTTCTTATATCCACATTCCAAAAGGTTTACCTGGATTTCCTGGAGAAGAAGGCTTCCCTGGTAAACCTGGACTCCCAGGAGACTCTCTGCCTGGAAAAGATGGTTTAGTTGGACTCCCTGGACCAAATGGAGAAAATGGTAAGTTTCCATTTCAGATTTAGCAAATCCATTATCTTATTAATCAATACAAACATTTGAGATGTAAATGGAATATTGGTATATATGGTTTACTGTAATAATAATAGCAAAGATTTTTTATTTATAGGCTTTTTTATTTATATAATGAGATTTAGCTGTAAGTCTTCAATGGAAAACTTAGCTTTATTCTTTTCTATTGTTATTACCAATATCCATAATTCCTCACTTGTTTTGTCTTTATTCTTAAATCCTAACACAATGCACATTAAATATAATTGCAATTTGTAGATTTAGTTATTGATTTAAAATGGTTCATTTGTTTATTGATATTTCTCTTCCAAGGGCTTGATGGTCTTCCCGGTATTGCTGGAGATGATGGAATTCCTGGTACCAGTTTTCCAGGTCTACCTGGAGAAGATGGAAGACCTGGTCTTCCAGGTGTTGATGGGAGAAATGGCCTACCTGGTTTTCGTGGTCGACAAGGTCCTGATGGGCCTGTTGGTCTTAATGGTAAAGTAGATTATTTTTTGTTTTCAATATTGAAAGGCAAAATATAAAAGTAAGCTATTCTGGCCTATACCTTGCTTTTCATTTGAGAGGAAAACAGGTTTTAAAGTTAAAAAAAAACTGTTTTTGTCCTTATTGGTATGATTTTCTATTTCACTTTGAAGTTTTGGAATATTTCAAATAACTCCTTTTTTTGCTTACCACATGACCCTGCTTTTCTTCAATACTTGAAGCTTTTGAGAATAAAACTTTTATTGTTGCTTAGAATTGCTGACATTGAATTTTTGTTATGTTTTCTATCCTAATACAAGATGAAATTATGGTTTTGCTTTCAGTCCCATCTTGTATTTTGTAAACTATTTTTTTAAATTTTATAATTGACTGCAAAGCTGTTTATTTATTTTATTTTTATATATATACAGGTTTTGAAGGAATGAAAGGAGAAAGGGGTGAGGATGGAAAGTTTGGTAAAGATGGTTTAGATGGTTTTCCTGGTTTGAATGGTGTTAAAGGTAAGATGTTTCTTATATTGCAAATAAGTTATTAGGTGACATATTTTTTTCTATTAATATAAATTATAAGATAAAATTGCATTTTTAATTTATTTCTATCAGTTGTGAATGAGGAATTATCAAATAATTAGCTTTAAAATAGTTTCTATTTGTAAACCATTTTCCGAATTGTTGACTTACATAAGTATATATTTTGTTTTGTTAACTTTAGGGGATGCTGGAAATCCTGGTACCCCAGGTACTGATGGCCTTGATGGTAAACCTGGGCCAAATGGAAGGCGAGGAGACCCAGGCTTTCCTGGACTTATAGGTGAACCTGGAGATCCTGGTCGATCTGTAGAGCCTGCTGAGAAAGGAAATTCTGGTCTACCAGGTAAGCAATCTGTAATGTTGGTAGTGCTTATTGAATACTGATTGTTTAAATTTCAGTGAACATATAAAATTTTTCCTGGGGATGTAGCACCTGACACTCTTGTCTCACAAATATATAAGAACATTAAGTTAAACTGTAAGTAAACTTGTAAATGTTGAGGTGTTTCAATGTCAGGTAAAATAAATCTTATCAAATATTAATGTCATATTGTTGTTACAGTTATTCTTGGACCATAATTTTAAATTCTTTAATAGTTATGGTCTGTGTCATTTTTTGTCTATTCTCTACTAGATTCTTGCTATTTGTTATTTCTATCTAAATTAAATCTTATCAAATTATTTTTTATTAGAATTGCATGAATTTGACTAAATATTTTTCTGCATTCAGGTATTTCTGGGATCCCTGGACAGCCTGGTATTGATGGACTTAATGGCTTACCCGGATTAAAAGGACAACCGGGAGATTCATATCCAGGCATTAAAGGTAAAATCAACAATGGAAAATGAGTCCCATCTTATTAAAAATCAATAACTATTCTTGTAAAATAGTTGATAAATATTTTGAAAAAATAAGTTTTATTTATTTTTTTAAGAAAATATTTTCTTATTTTTGCTTGTCCACTACATTCTATCTATCACATACTTTTGTTTCTCTTCCTGTTCTTTTTTTCTGTCTATATGTCTGACATACTTTTGATTCTCTCCCTATTTATACAAGATGGAAAACCTTGTATATTGTTAGCTACATATTATTCTGCCTACTTGTATTTTCTCAGGCAAAGCTGGTCTACCTGGTCTACCTGGCCTTCCAGGTGTTGATGGTCAACAAGGGCCAAAAGGAGCTAGAGGAGATTTTGGATTGCTTGGTCAGTTTATTTTCTTTTGAAGCAGAATTTAAAAAGAAGAAAGTTAATTCTAATTTGTTATTGGCAAATACTTAATCCTGTACTAACTCCAATGGGTTAAGACAATATCATTAAACTGTTACAGGCATTGATGGACGCCCTGGTGAAGCAGGCCGAGATGGTCTTCCAGGATTGCCAGGTACAGATGGTGTCAATGGCTTGAAGGGTGAAAGAGGATTTAATGGTCTGCCAGGAATTGATGGAATACCTGGAATACCGGTCTATATCTGCATTTTACCTACTTGTTTTGCTTTCTTCTTTTTTTAATACCAGATTATTAATTAATTAATTATTCTTTTATACTCATTATTTTAGCCACCAAATATTCATGTTGACAAGATGTTTTCTCATCAATTTGAATTATTATTAAATAATAAATAAGCTGAGTATAAGCTCAAATGATGGTATAGAGGTGACTTTTTTTCATTTCTAAATATCATTGTCCAGAAGTGATCTTACCAATATATGAAAACAAATTCCTTGAAGGCAAATTGCATGTCAGTTAGTTGAGCAGGCAGCAGCAGACAAGGAAAACAATCTTCTGACTTTGGATTTTTCTTCTCCATTGTTTCTGTTATCTAAATTATTGAGATTTTTACAAAGTTTACTGCATGAAATAATTACCATGTAATTGGCTATTTATGAAAATAGCTCAACAAGTGACCATTTTTCCAACCTAGTAGCAAGAGTTGGAGTGTGGCCGCTATGCAGATTTGCGGTTGTTAAGTTTTAATTAAATTTTGCTCATTAAATAAAACTGTCCATATTTTACTTTGCTTAGTTTTCTTAACAAAAACATTAACTAGATTTTCTCAAAGCTTTTTTTTTCCAGTTAAAAATTGGTAAAAAATTTCTTGCCTTTCAGGGTGATGATAGCTTTCCAGGATTGAAAGGCCGTAAGGGTGAATTTGGTTCAATTGGTCGCCAAGGTCTCCCTGGAATTCGTGGTGACAAGGGCATTCGAGGGGATGATGGTTTAGATGGTTTGCCTGGCATGACAGGCTCCAATGGAATACCTGGAGAACAGGGTATTAATGGCATTAATGGCTTACCTGGTTTGAAAGGGGAACCTGGAAGTCCTGGTGTCTCTGGTTTGACTGGTCTAAAAGGTCGTAAAGGCCCCAGAGGTGTACTAGGTATTAAAGGAACAAAAGGTAATTTGAGTATCTTTTTTTTTCTTTCTTTTTTTGTTGTTGTTAAGACTATTCAAACAAAATATTTTTCTTTCTTTATTATTTCATTCATTTACTCATTCAGCTGAATTAAAATTTATTACTAAAATTTGTCTATAGCATTTATGTTAAGGACAACATTAAAATTAAAACAAAACTTTTTTTTTCAAATAACCAAGCAATGCAAATTTGACATTTTCTGCTTTTAATCTTGATGTGAATTTATATTAGAGATACTTGGTTTAATTTACCAAGAAAGAACATTAGATTTAAGGCTTAAAATTTTAACTTAGGTCTGTCCCAGGGTAATTTAGCCTAGTGGATTAAAGTGTAGGTTCATGAATTTGGTGCCATATTAATTGTGAGTTCAATCTCTTGACCAGGTAATACCAACCAATTTCAGCAGAAACAAGGTAAACAATAAGCAGTACTAAATAAGAACAAAACAAGATATCCTGAGACAGAGACCTGAAGAAGGCCAGAGGGCACTTTAAAAAATCAAGGAAAAGAAAAAATATCATTTGTTTTAACCCTCGCCTTTTAACTTAGAGGTAAAATGTAAAATAGGGAAATTATTTTTCAAGTTACCTACTAAACACTTCCCAAAAAATTCAGAATTCAAGATAAGATATTCAATAAAAACACAGTTAAAATTAAGCTTCAGCTCCACTAATAATTTAGAAACAATAATAAATAGACAAAATGCCAGAAATCTCCAAACTAATGTGCAGCAAAATATAGTTAACACTATTAATTTATGCAACTGTAGAAATAAAAATAGATGTCCATTAAATGGAGCTTGTAAAACAGAAGCTATAATCTATAGAACAGAAGTAACAGACATTAATGGCCAAAATAAAATGTACATAGGATGTACTGAATGTACTTTCAAATGTAGATGGTACAATCATAGGTTGTCATTTAAGCTAGTAAATCTTAGATAGACTACCAAACTAGCTAACCATATGTGGAATTAAAAAGTAAAAAAACAACAGGGATCTGACTGTTAGGTAGAAAATATTAAAAAAAGCAAAGCATTATAACAACCACAACAACATTTGCAACCTCTGCCAAAAGGAAAAATTAGCAATTATGACATTTCCCGATCTAAAGAACCTTCTGAACCAAAAATCCGAAGTCGAGTCCTCGCTTACATATTAGAAAGTGACTCTTAAGTACATATGAGGCTGGATAAAAAAAAAAAAAATAATGTTCATTTCAATTAACCCCTGCACCAATACATTTACAATACTCTTGTCTTTCTTCTCTGTCCCCTTCTTCTTCACCTTCCTTTTTCACATCCTCCTCTTCCTCATTACACCCAACCTCATGCATTTGTTTATTTATTTTTGAAAATAATAATATGGTGTTCATTAGTTTTTTTTAAAAAAATAGCGTTAAGAGATCATTTGATAAAAATCGCCTGAGGATACTGTAAGGTTGAAACCAAGGTAGCAGGTTCAACTGACCTGATTTTTAAAGTTAAAAGCTCTACATGTTATTTTTACTTTTATTATATTTTTTTCACACATGTATTGAGCACTTTTTAATACTAATGTTTCCTGGTCTGATTCAATTCTGACCATTAACCTTTTTATATATATATATATATATATATATATATAATTTTTATATAAGGATTTTTGTTAATTTCTAACTGCATTTTTTTCCATATTTTATTTCCTTTCAATGAAAAAAGGGAGTGTGATATTGTACAAATCTTTCCTCATTACCAATTTTTATGTAGTCTTTCCTTCTCCTTCAATTCATGTTTGATAGTCTGACAAAATTCCATGAAAACTTTTTCATTGAGATAATAATGGGATTTTGTTGTTTTGTAGGTACTTATGCACCACCACCCATTCTAAGCCGTAAGTAACTTTTATGAACCATCTACTTATTAAGTAATTTCTATTAAGTTTATAACTAGCTTTGGTTGTAACTTATATTTTATAATGCTTATTCTTTAAGAAGAACAAAATAAAGCTTCAAATAATTTTGCTTACACAACTATTTTGAGAAATCTGACATTATTTTTTAATGAGTAAAATCTTTATTTTTCAAACTATTTTAATATGTAACATATCTGATGTTAATTCCAAGTGGAATATCTGATTGAAAATAGAATTATCATTCAGCTGTATTCAGTTTCAATGAGAAATATCATCTTATTCAATTTCTTACATTTGTAGCACTTGATCAAACTCTACTTCAAGGAGAGAAAGGTTTCCAAGGTATTGCTGGAGTTAGAGGTGATCCAGGAGGTGTTGGTTTGAAGGGTTTGCCTGGTTTACCAGGATTTCCTGGAGAGCCAGGTGAAGTATTACCTGGCAGAAAAGGAGTGCCAGGGGAAAATGGCTTCAGAGGAATTCCAGGTACACAAGCAGTTTAAACTTTCACTAATTTCAATAACATTCATAACTTTTGTTCTTTACTCAATATCTTTGGCAAATGCATCAATTTATCTTTTTTGACTTCTGGTTTGCAGTGCTTTAAATAATTTGAGAATTTTTTTAAATAGTTAACTGTTTGACAGAGATAAATAAATTTTATTCTATTTCAAATAGGTAAAGAGATGTTACAATTGCTTAATTTTAAAATAGCTTGTTCCTTAAATATGCCAAAATAAGTAAAATGTTTCTTATTTTTTCAAACAAAAACTTTTCTTGCATAATGTGGATTTGCTCATTTTATTCATATACTCTTAAGTCACTAATAGAAGAGGGGACTTTTTTTTCCATTCCCCTATTCTGAAACTATTAAGAACAGCCAGTTTATTAATTCTGCAATTGTTGATGCTTTAAACGATGTTCTGACCTCCTTATTAAGACTCCATTTACTGAACATTGAGAAAAATTCCAACTCTCCAATTATTAAGACCCTGTCATTACATTATGCACCTAAGAATAATTAGTTAATTTTGAACATTTTAAAATTATTTTTAATTATCCTCTTTGCTGAGTTGAAATCCAAGGTGATATTATCCAGAGTTGCTTTTTGCTTGCTTGCAGGAGATCCAGGTTTACCTGGGCGTGATGGACAATCTGGGATTGATGGTTTGGATGGACTCGGAGGAAATGCTGGTTTTCCTGGCTTTCCTGGTATTGTTGGCTTGCCTGGCTTACCAGGAGATGTTGGTCTACCTGTACGTAGCAATCTCCTGAATTCTCAATTTTAATGGCAAAAAAGCAGCATTTTTTAGTTTTAACTATTTCTTGTTTGCTCAGCTTATTCAAAGTTTGACTTTGTGCATTTCCATGATTTTTACAAGAAAAGATACCAAATTGAAGCTTTGTCTGTTCAAATGAATAATTTTCATTGAAAAGTTTTCTTTTTCAACAAATACTAATACACTTTTTTAACTATTTAAAAAAAAAAAACAAGGAAAAATTAATCTAAATTTTGTACATGAAAAATGTTTGTTTTGAAAGCTTTTCACTTCAGTGACTCAGAAATAGGCATCCTAATTTTTGTGTGAATGGTTTTGTTGATTTAGGGGCGTCCTGGATATGATGGTCTTCCTGGATCACCTGGTCGTAAAGGTGATCCAGGATTCCCTGGTCTTATTGGACAAAAAGGTGAATCTGGTGATCGGGGATATGATGGAAGACCAGGACTTGATGGATTGCCAGGTCCCAAAGGTTAGTAATATTTTATTTAACAATTTCTACCAGTTTTCTATTTGAATTAGCAAATTTGGGCTGATTCCAATGCTGTTGATTCTTGAATCATTTGCAAATGCCAGAACTTATGCAGAAAATAGAAATTATTTAAAATAAATGAGTTTATTTAAATTTGATCTTTCTATTAAGATTATTTCAATTATAAATTTGTTGATTTTTGTTGTCTTTAATTGAAAGCAATTATAGTGAAAACAATTTTGTCAATCTTGTCACTTTGTTTACAAGGGGATATTGGTTATCCTGGAGAACCTGGCTATGCTTCCAATCAAGAACCCGGTGCTGTTGGTGACCCTGGTGTGACTGGATCAAGAGGACAACCAGGATTAAAAGGAATACAAGGTAAGAAATATAGTTCTTATTTAATATTGTATCAATTTGTTTCTTGAAATTTTCAACAAAAATTTTTTTTGGTAATTGCAAAGTTGGTGATTGTATTCTTTCACTTCTTTGATGATTGGAATATCTTACAGGTGATAGAGGACCTTCTGGAATCCCTGGATTGCCAGGAGAAAGAGGAATTGTAGGTTTTCCAGGCAATGACGGACTTCCTGGATTGGACGGTAGACATGGTTTTGATGGCATTGATGGTTTACCTGGTCTTGATGGTGCTATTGGCCTGCCTGGAGATGAAGGACCTCCAGGAGCAGATGGAGATAACTTGGGTATTTTATTTGCCAGGTAAAATGTCCTAATTCACCCAACATATTCCTATAATTTGAATAATTGCAAACATATTCAGAAACCTTGCATTGAGTTTTTGTTTCTTTATTCCATTACCAATAACACATTAAATTAAAATTGATTTCAAATTTATTATAAAATAAATGCATTAAACCTTTTAAATTTACTGTTATTAAAAATTTTTACCTGTTTTTTGAAAAAAAAAATAGCTGCTTTTCCACTTCTTTTTAAAAAATATTATTTAGGGAGCATAAAATTATATTTTAAACCTTAAGAAAAATTAATTATTAAAGTGAATTTTAAATGAAGTCTTTAACAATTTTTTATATTTGTTTTTACTTGTTTGTATTAGAAAATGTCTAAAACAATGATTTGTGCTTCTGTATTGGCATTTAGGAAAGTATTTTTAACTACTGCATGAGCAGATGTTATCTACAGTTAATTACCAATAAAGCATTATTGAAATTGGAAATGACTGTCTTGAAAAGAGTCTTATTTGCAAGTTACTTGTGTTGCTGTTATAATGGATTTCATCCTTTCAAAGTTCATCATAACAGGTTAAATAATACTGAGACAAAATCATTATACTTGCATTAAGGATACATTCACTGTTCTAAGATTTAAAATAGTGAAATATAAATTAGTGAATTATAGTGAAATGACATGTTTATTTTTGTAATTAATAAAACTATTTGCTTATTTTTTTGTATTTTTCCCTACACATTCTCCCTTTTCGTCAAATCTTTATAATAAATATTTACAAACTTATGCTGTTAAATGTTAATGTACATTTTTTTCCTATTTTGATAGGCATAGCCAAAATACGCAAAGTCCTGATTGCCCTGGAAGGTCAGTGAAATTGTGGGATGGCTACTCTCTACTTTTCTTAATCGGTAATGGGCGTTCAGCAGCACAAGATTTAGGTAAGATATTCTTTTCTTCATTACATCATAAACCCACATAGATACTTTTTTGTAAAAAAGAAATTAACAGCAGTAAGGTCTATTTAAAAATCTATCTTGCTTGTATTTTTTAGAATGTATTTTTACTTTTGTATTCGGACATGTCTGAAGCAAATCCGCATCTGATTTCTATGGGATTCTTGTGTCTGTTTCTTCTAAGTTTTGTTTTTATCATTTTAGGAAAGCCTGGCAGTTGTCTGAGACGATTCAACACAATGCCATTCATGTTCTGTAATTTGAATAACAGATGTACTTTGTCATCAAGAAATGATTACAGTTATTGGCTATCTACCCCAGAACCCATGACTCCAATGATGAACCCAATTAAAGGCATGGATATCAGGCCTTACATAAGCAGATGCTCTGTTTGTGAGACTTCATCACAAGTAAGTCTGATAAAATGATAGTAATACATGTATAGAAATGAAAATGAATAAACGTTTTGTGAGCTTTCAAAAACAAGATTTTAATCTGCTTTTTAATTCTTTTCTAGGTCATTGCTGTACATAGCCAGACAATTATGATTCCTGACTGTCCTCCTGGATTCCAAAGCATGTGGATTGGTTACAGTTTTATTATGGTAAGTAATACCTGATTTTATTTTCACTTTAATTCATTTGTGCCACTATCTACACATTTTCACTTTTCCAGAAAATAAGATGTTGATGGTAAAAACTTGTTAGCTTTTCCTTTTCATCCCCAAAGCTTATTGACTAGAAAAAACATGGCAATACTTATTTAAAAAAGAATTAAAAATAAAATTTGCTTTAATCTTTACTGGTTCTTTGGATTTTTAATAGGTGGCATTTGAACATGTGATTTCATTTCACACAAGACTGAAATTTATGACATACATATTCTGAAAGGTGACATTTCAATGCATCTTTCTACATTTATTTATATTAAAAGTGAAAATGGAGAAAAATGGGGTCAATTTTCATTATTTAATGCTCATTTATTTCCATGAAGGAAATATGTACAAACAGTAAAAAAGATATGTGCTATTTATGGAGATGGTGTCATAGCTGAGTGTACTGTTCATGAGTGATTCACTAGGTTCACAAGTGAAAATTTTGTTCTAGAGGACTGAAAACAGAACTTTCCAGCTGGCCTTAGTTGAAAACAATTGGATACATGAATCACTACAATGTTTAGGTATCTCATGATGTAAGAGAAAAAATGTAATAGACCACATTTGCATCTGCAGTTCTCTGCTCAAATGCAACAAAGATGATCCATTTCTGAGGAAAGCAATCAAAAGTAATGAAAAATAGATTCTTTACAACAATATGTAGCAAAAAGGTTCTGGATAAAAGAAAAGGCCAGTATGCATCTGTAAAAAGTGATGCTGGGTATCTGATGGAATTTGAAAAGCCTGGTGTATTATGAGCTCCATCCACAAAACCAGGTGTTTAGTTCAAACAAGTACTGTTCCCAGTTGAACAAATTAAAACCAGCAATTGATGAAATGTATCTGGTATTGACCAGTTGGAAGTTTGATGTCTTCCATCAGGACAAAACCAGACTTCATATCTCATTGCAGACCTGGCAGAAATTGGTACAGCCTGGCTAGCATGTCCTGCTGTACTCTCTGACCTTGCACTTTTGGATTTTCAGTTATTTTAGTCCCTACAAAATTCTCTTAATGGGAAGAACTTCAATTCTCTGGAAGCCAGTAAATGCCACTTAGGTCAGTTCATCACACAGGTTCTGGGCAGATGGAATCATGAAGCTGCCTCTAAAATGGAAAAAATTTGTAGAAAAAAAAAATGACATGTAGTTGAATAAATCTCTGTACAAATATGTCAATATTATCTTTAAAATCCTCTTAAAAATACTACAAACTTTTGTTCCAATCCATTTGTTTTCCTAAATTGTTGATTTATAAAACTGATATACAAAAACATTTATTTCTGGGCTCATATCCAGGATAAAGTGATTTTTTTTTATAAATCTTTGCATTTAAGTAATGTCTTCTAGTCTCTGATCTTTTTAATTAAAACTATTAATATTGGCAGCTCAAATCTGGAACTGTTTTGTCCTAACAAGTCTGAATTGTTATTTCTGCTTTGAAATTTGTCATTTTTTCTATAGCATTCTGTGTTTTCCTCTTCTCTTTTAGCACTCAAGTGGAGCAGCTGAAGGTACTGGGCAACCCCTTGAGTCTCCTGGTTCTTGCATTGAAGAGTTCCGTAACCAACCATTCATTGAATGCCAAGGGAGTCGAGGCTCATGTAATTATTACTCAACATCTATTGCTTTCTGGATGGCCACTATAGACAGATCTACACAATTCTCTCAGCCTTTGGGAGAAACGCTCAAGGCTGGTGATCAGAGACGCAGAGTCAGTCGATGCCAAGTGTGTATGAGGGTAACATCCTAACAGTGAATCAAGCCAGTGAATCTAGCACTGTTCACTCTTTGCTTTTACAGCCAGCAAAAAAAAAAAAATTGAAGACGTTTCAAAGAAGTTGTATAAATAATGAGGAATAAGAAAGATGATTACAAAACCAAATGCAGACAGTAATGTTAGTCATTTTCAGATTGCCCCTTTGTTCCACTCAATGTTATATTTATCTGCCAAGATGACATGTTCAGCTATCAACTGAGGTGTAGATGCCTTGTTAAGAACCACATTCACTGATTCAGACAATCTTTCATTCCTCATTATCACTTTCTATTATTTTTAACAATTGGAAGCTATTTACAGATTTTTAGCTGATATTAACTGATTTTTCAAATTATTTTTAATTATAATTATTTTTAACCCTTAGCCATTTCCAGTTTTCTATATCCACACGAGTGCATGTGATTGAGTGTGTGGGTGTGTGTACTTTTTCTTAAAAAGAAATGAGACCCCAAATAAAGCTGCATTTTTAATGTTTTAATATTTCTATATTTTGTTTGGGTTATTTTCCTTGCAAATATGTACATGATATGTTGAAGTGCTAAGAGAAACTTGTTGAAATTCTTTTAGAATTTTCTCAATAATGAAATTATCTCCATAGCCTCACTTTTGGAACATTAAATTTATGGCACAGATCAACTATCCAAGCTTCCCTTTCAGTCAAAAAAAATAAATAAAAAATAAAGAGTTTACAGCAGCAAAAAATATGCACTTTTAAATGATTCCTTCAAAAGAAAGGAGAACTCTTATTTAATGCTCTTTTTTAATTTTGTAAAATGGATTTCATTTGAAAAATATTCTTATTTAACTTTCAATCTGCAATTGTGTATTCTATTGGCTTTACAGAAAGAAATTTTGAACTTAATTTAAAATTCATTGTTCTTTATGGTAAGGTAAGAATATTTGCAAATTGCAAAATTTCAACAGAAAATATTGCAGATATAAAAAAAGAGGAAGAGAAGAGCAATGAATAAAAATCTTGTTAGTCTCAACAAAGTTGTTTGGTATGAAGGAATGTTGCAAAAATAGTTTCCTTTTTATTGACCACAAAGCTGAATTGGTTCCAAACAATAAAACTATCTCAGCCAAAAAAGAAATCCAAACTTTATCATTTTGCTACATTAAAAAATATATAATAGACAGTTATTAATGGAACAGAAAACCTGTGTAATTTTTGGCTTTGTTTAATCCATTGACATATTTTCAACATAGATTCTGTTTTAATCAGAGCCTCTTTATTGTTCTGTCACTGTTGGGAGGTTGGATGCAGAAGAGCCTGTTATAAAGTATTGTTTTCTGTTTAGTTCTATTATTCTCAATAAATTTTCATATTCAGTAACATAAGAATACTCTTCTGCTTTCAATTAGTTTAAGCAAGTGATTCTTAGCTGCAGTCAATTAAAAAAAATGTTTTTCAATCCATTAAACTTAATTTCCATTATTACATTAAGAATGCAAAATATTAAAATCTGTACTTTTATTCTAGAAAAATAAATTGGTTTGATAATTATAAAGATTTTTGTTACCAAGAATCTTTTCAGCAGCCAAAGAGATACTTTTTCTCTCAAGTGAATTTTTTTAAAACACATCTGTGCATGCAATTTCCTGACAAGAAATTTAACAATGATAATGCTGTTATTTTTTTCTGCAATTTTTTAAAAGGAAAAATCAAAAGTTGTGTAAATAGAGAAACATGCGAATTGTTTCACTAACGTTTCCAAACAGTATTTATCCACTGCCAGAACTGAGCTTCAATTTGTTCAAATGCAAATTATTGTGAAATGTATTTTTGTTGCTATTATCTTCTGTATGAACACTGATTTTGGATGCTTCCATCTGTTTTGTGTTCTGATCTTAGTGCTTTTTAGATTAGGACTGGTCTAATAAAATTTGCCAAATCTGAATAAAAAAAACAAAAAAAAAACACTTGTCACATTTTTTTAAACTGTAGCAAGAAAAAGTTTACAATAAAATCTATTTTATCCCATTTTATTTTCTCTTCCTGTCAAATGAGTTTTTATTTCTCATAAAAGTTCACTTAATTGAAAGAATAATCAAATTGTGTGACACATTTTTTCCAAAATTACAATTTACATGCCATTCCTTTAATATATTTTCTGTTTATATGTTATTTTTATAAATACAAATATTTAAGTAAATGCTCTGTTTATAATAAATAGTATTAACAAATTATTTGGTAAATGTTGTTAATACTGTTTATTATAAACAGAGCATTTACTTAAATATTTGTATTTATAAAAATAACATATAAACAGAAAATATATTAAAATAATTATAGGACTTAGTCCATTTCATAATATACCATTCCTTTAAAAACAAATCAATTTCAAACATTTTGTCATCAATGATACTTAATTTGTATCCATTTCATTTGTAACATAATGACTAATAATTGACTATGATTACCAATTTTGGTCACCTAACAAATTAGTTGTTTTATAATTTTTTTGTCAATTTAGTTTTTTTCTTTCAAAGATAAAAAAATTTCTTCCAATAATAAAGACAAGGGAAAATACCTGTCATTCATTTGTTCGCAATATTTTCAGCCAAGTAAGTCATTTACAGTAACTTCAGTTATTTTTTTTTTTTGTTTTTTTTAATGTTTCTTATTTAAAAAGAAAAAACTTCCTCTTTGTAAAATCTTGTTTCATTGTGGAACAAATCTGCATCTGAAAACCAATTTTTCCTTTAGAAAAGTAACCTTGTTGAATTGCCTACTAAAATGTCAGGTCCATGAATGAACATGACCATTACTTAAAATCCTTTAAGCACATCAACTATTCTGTAATTTTTCTAACACTTAGCTTGCATAAACTGCCCATTCGTCTAGTTTTGTGGGTCCACATAAATAAACAAATAGAAAATCGAAATTTGTAAGCACGTTGTTAGCATTGATTAACACTAAACAATCTTTCTATCAGCTTGGACTTAAATATGTGGTCAATTTCAAACCAAATATATTTCTAATGTATAAAGGAATTACATATAAATAGTTAAAAAAATGTTTAAGATCAAGAAACTACACAGACTAAATAAAAACTTTCTATTCTATGAAATGATATCATTTGCCGGTGGTTACTTTTGATGCAAAAATGACGGTTTGATTATTAAAGAATGTAATGGACACAGTTAACACTCGTGGACGTTATAAGGTTGAAAACTTTAAAAATATGTGAATTCAACTCATACGTTGGTTTTTATATATTTAATGGCATCATTTCATAAGAGATAAACTATACTTGTGTTTACACAGAGTTCAGAAAGAAAATTAAAGAAAGACGTGCACGGGATAAGTTGTGCATGTGGTTCAATTAAAATTAGTTTCCTCTCGGGGGAGTGTTTCCCCGGAGGTGACGAAAGGTCTAAGACTACTACCACAGCATCCTTGGTTTGAGAGAAAGAGAGTTTATGTCCTTTCCTTTTATACCACTTGTTGCCACGCCACTTCGCTCTCGTTAAACGCAGATGGGTTTATCTCCTAGTTTTGGAAGCGTTTAACTTGGATGTTAAACCATATTTCATTGATTCCACATATGATAAATAGGCAATAGAAAATGTTTTGAGTTTAGCTTCTTTCGAATCTTCCTTACCGAGCAGCGACCAAACAAGTAAATTCTAGTCTTTTCAAAAACAGAACTCAGCAACCTTGCTTCTATGTTTCTATTTAAGACGTCACAACAGTTAAAAAATACTTAGATTTTTTAACCTATAAGTAATGTTCGAAATCGGATAGCAGTAGTAACTTGTATGATATTGTTACCATTCACATATGCTTAAAATAAATGATGCTGGTACGTAAATAAGTTATATACTCACTGCCCGATTCAACTGTTACTAACATGGCCCTTAGACGTCTTAGAGAACGCATAAAACATGTAATGCTTGATGAATTTAGAAAAGGTAACAATGCTGCAGAAGTAACATATGATGTTTGTAAAATAGAAATTACCGGAGATGGTATAAAAAGTTTAGAAGAGTTGAAAGATCCGCCACAAACAACTCATTCTGTTGAGTATAACGTTTTATCTGATCTAATAATGCTGTTACCGTTGAAGAATAAGTTCAAAAGCTGAATTGAAGCCATTCAACAAATCATCTTCAACAAAGTGGTGCTGAGTCTGAGAAATTCGCTCCCGCATAAGTTGCCGGAAGAAGCCAACCGTAAAGCAAGAATATGATATATCCTCTTATAAATACATATCAACAATTTTTTTCTTAACAAGAGGTTGCGTTGGTGTAGTTTACTTTGCTTTGGGCACCAGTCAATTTTACGAAAACAGTGCTTGAAACGGAAAGAGGCCCAAAGTTGTGGTAATAATCAATATAGCAAAAATAACATTTGAAACGACTGAAGACTTTAAATGCGAAACATTCTAGATGTAATAAATTTTAAAATATAGAAAGAGAGAGGAACTATTTGAAGTTTAACGATTCATTTAGTACAATTTAAATTTTCCTCACTGACTTTAAATGAAACCAAATATATTTACAAAAATACATTAGTATATGGCAATATCCCACAAAAAATTCTAATATGGCAAAAAAGTAACCAGTCAAAAATAATTCTGTTGCAATGTAGGAAAAAAAAGCTAAATAAGCGAAATATTCCCACATCACCGGAGAATTTTACCTGGCGTCAACTAATGAAAAGGGAGGGTAAGGACTCCAAATATTGAAAGGGGTTAATGAGCATAAATTCCTCAGCTAAGTTTAAAATTATCAACACTATTCTATCTTAAAATTGTCTAGACAGAGTTTTTTCGGAGGCACAAAAACATTGTTATAGACAAGCATATGGCAAGAAAGAAATACGACAACAGCAAAAACAGATTTGCGTGGTTTATTTCAACAGGAACGTGTGGGTTTGGGACAGCTAGCTTGTGGTAAAGTTCATAAGCCGGCTTCGGATCTAGGTCGATCTCTCATAGTAGTTCACACATGTTGACGGTGGTTGA